CACATATAAAAACAGCTCAAAAAATGCTTTTTAAAAAGCTTTTAAAAAAATACATTGAATTTTCCATAAGGCTCACCATCACCATCGTCACATTGTATATTGCACTTAAAACACTCTTAAAACATTTTATTTGCAGCTGTATGGCTGAGTCCTTGCTCTCTGTAGACCCCACCCCTGAGTTCTTTCTTGCACAACAAAATGAGGGGTGGAGAATCACTTTGTTTCCTCCATCCCTGACCCCAAACCTTGTTGGCCAATTTTTATCCAATTTTGGACAGTGCTCAAAAAAATGCATATTCAATTCCTTTTTCTTTTGGATAGATCTTTTTTTTAAAAAAAAATTTAAAGTACTCACAAATGCACAAATGTTGAAGCATCTAAACTCAGGCATTTTCATTACACATTGAAGCATTATGCATGTTGCTGGCAATATACAAATATTACTGCCGCCAATAATGGTGGTGATGAATGAGTAGTAATTTTGGAAGCAGCCTTTGTAAAGTGAGTCTATAATGACCATTTGTTTCCCTCTTGTCTTGCCTCTGCCTCCAACACACAAGCTTGTTACAATTTGTCATTTCCACTGAGCGGAAAAGGAAATGGAGTGTTGACCCTGGCGTCTGTCTTAAGCCTGCTTGAGGCATGAATCTACTTTATGCAAATAAATACTCCACACAATTCTAATGTTTTGACATTTCTTCCATACCGTCCAAGACGACGAATGCCTTTATTTGGATTCTTACTCATGGTAAGTGTGTAAGGTCTGTGTTACACATCATCTAGGTCTTACTGAGACCTTCCTTACATCTGATCCTCCCTCTTTTCCCACCTAGGTTCCTTGTCTGATATCCAACTTGTCCAGTTCGGACAGGGCGTAGCGTGGGTTGTCAGCACCCGGGGCAAGGCAAGTAATTTGCGCCCCCTAACCCGTGGATTTGCGCCCCCTAACCCGTGGATTTGCGCCCCCTAACCTGTGGATTTGCCCTAACCCCAGATGTTGCGCCCGGTGCGGCCGGCTCCCCCTGCACCCCCCACGCTACGCCACTGAGTTCGGATCTGGGACAGTGTCTCCAGGAGGGGCCCTCAGCCTCACCTGTACGGTCAGTGAATTCTCTGTTTTGTGTCCTTATTTGCACTGGGTCCAGAAACATTTTTGAAAAGGGCTGGAATGGAAGGGAGCAGTAAACTGGTCTAGGTCCAGATGGCACACAAACTATGCCTCGTTTCTACAAGGACAAATCACCATCTCTGCAGATACACCCACCAATTCATTCTCCTTGCAGCTGAAGTCCTTAATAGCTGCACACACTGCGACATATTATAGGTAAAGGACCCCTGGACCCCTCAACAAGTTTTGTGTCCAGATTTCCACCTTTTGAAATATGGCAGCCCTATTTTAGCCTGTCCTTCTTCTTAAATAGAGGACAGGACTAAACTGGCCTCCCTTTATGGAAATTGGTCAGACATACCCTTCCTGTTTAAATAGCAGTGTCCTGTGGTACTCTGTGACCTGAATGGGCCTCATACAATCTGTACAAAAGACAGAGGAGTGAGTGATTAAAAATATGAGATCCTTTTGGCTCATTCTTCTGAGCATTTCACCTGGTGGGTATTTATCCCTGTGGTAAAATACAGAAAGCTTATTTCAACCAAAAGAGCATTTATTTCAGAACTCTGTAATTCCTGTCCCTTTTCTGCAGGTATCTTATCCAGTACACAACTGACCCAATCTGGTACAGGAGAAGTGAAGCCTGGAGACACAGTCAAACTGATTTGCTCTGTCTTGGGTGTCCAAGTCGGTGGTTATTACTGGGGCTGGATCCGACAGCCTCCAGGAAAAAGGATGGAATGGTTGGGTCACATTCGGAGCACTGAATCTGGAGGAACTTCATACTACAGTCCAGCTTTCAGCAGTCGAACCAGCATCTCCAGGGACACATCCAGAAATGAAGTGTATCTCCAGCTGAGCTCCCTGACATCTGCAGACACAGCAATGTATTATTGTGGAAGGGCACCACAGCTAAGCAAAGCAATGGAGCATCCATTCAAAAACACATTCCACCATGAATGCCTCTACAGACACAATTAGACCCCTGTTTTGACCAGAGCTCTGACTAGTCTGTTCATACAGCATTCTTGCAGCATTCTTGGAGGGAAGATTTATTGCTCAGGGAATCCCACAGAAGCTATTGAAAACTTGCTTATGTGCATTGCACAGCCCCAGATCTCATTGCCCCATTAATGGTGGATGAGGCCAAAATCTCATCTCACTGAGCATTCTCACTGGGCATTCATCTCACTGAGCGTTATATTGAATCAGGCCAATAGTCCGTCTAGTTCAGTATAGTCTACACTGGCTGGCAGCTGCTCTCCTATCTGTCAGACAAAAGAATTTGAGACAAAAGTCTTCCCTTCCTGACACCCAGTATAGAGAGTAGACATCTAGATAGATCAATGGTCTGACTTGGGATGGGGCAGCTTCAGGTTGAATTCTCGGCGCTTGACCTTCCAGTTTGGCAACCCCAGCAGAAGTGCTTCCTTTTATCATATTCACTTCCTAAATGCAGCCCCCACTGGCCTTCATGCAAATCTCCAAAGGAAGCTTTTCTGGTTTAAATAGCATTGTCTGATTTTTTACCCTCATTCTCTTTTGTTTTGTACAGAAGAGAGGAGCAAGTGAGAAGCAGAGATGAAATCTATTATGTTGGTTATTCTTGATCTCTTGGCTGTTTCACCAGGTGAGGATTTATGCATCAGATCTTTTTTTTTAAAGATATTGAACTAATTAAAAAGTGCACACCAGATTTAACTCTATATTCCTGCCCCCTTTCTGCAGGTGTCTTATCCAGTACACAGCTGACTCAGACTGGCCCAGTTGAGCTTAAGCCCGGAGAGTCCCTCCAACTGACCTGCACTGTCTCTGGTGTCCAAGTCAGTGGTTATTACTGGAGTTGGAACCGGCAGCCTCCAGGGAAAAGGATGGAATGGTTGGGTTTCATTCAGCACTCAATAAATGGAGGAAATGCCTATTACAACCCAACTTTCAGCAGCCGAGCCAGCATCTCCAGGGACACCTCCAGAAATAAAGTCTACCTCCAGCTGAGCTCCCTGACAGTTGCAGACACTGCAACATACTTTTGTGCAAAAGCATCACAGTTTGGCAAAGCGGTGGAGCACCCCAGCAAAAACCACACTCTGACTTGAATGTCTACAGGGACACAGCCAGCTCTCCGTTTCGACCAGAACTCCAAATAAATAATCTGCATGGTCTGGATGGAAGATTATTGTTGACAAACACAAGCAAAATACCCACCACCATGGCAGGGAGGGAGAATGAGTTAACAGTACTTTTTTTCAGGCCTGGGCAGGACTTGTCTGAGGCCCCTGGAGGGAGTCTTGTTAGAGGAAAGTTATATTCTCAAACCAAAAAGCAGCTGGTCCCTGGAGGCTGACCTCTCCGATGAAGGGATGTGGGTGGCACTGTGGTCTAAACCACTGAGCCTCTTGGGCTTACCGATCAGAAGGTCGACGGTTCAAATCCCCATGATGGGTGAGCTCTCATTTCTCTGTCCCAGTTCCTGACAACCTGGAAGTTCGAAAGCACGCCAGTGCAAGTAGATAAACAGGTACTGCTGCGGTGGGAAGATAAACAGTGTTTCCGTGCTCTCTGGCTTCCCTCACGATGTTCCATTGCATCAGAAGCAGTTTAGTCATGCTGGCCACATGACCTGGAAACGCCAGCTCCCTCGGCCTGAAAGGGAGATGAGCTCTCAACCCCATACTCGCCTTTGACTGGACTTAACGTTCCAGGGCTCCTTTACTTTTTACCTTTACTTTAACCCTCTGAGATCCGGGGCAAGTATACTCGGCTGTACCTCTTTTCTGCAGGGGCCAACTTATTTTGTCTCATAATATTCTGTGTAAGCTATTGAACATTTTCCTTAGCATGGCACCACCCTTTCATCTCCAGAGCCCCACCCCAGGATCCATTCATTACTCATGCTCAATGTGCATTCATGCAGACATAGAGACACAAAAATCGGCATACACACAAACTGTTCCACTTTGAGTGTGACATCCTAAATCTACTGAAGTCAGCCCAGCTTCTGTTTTAATTCCCAGATGTCCCTCATCCAATGCCACAGTAAGGCCTCCTCCTCCTCCTCAGCTAAGCCCAACACCCTTACCCACTACTCTCTTTCATACACATGTACACCCCTGACTTTTATGCTGTTGCTGACTCCAGGAGAGCACACACACACACCATATTCTGGGGCAGACACAATAACTTTTGACAGAAAACAAGAGGGAAATCCAGGCTTCTAGCACAACTGCCACCGGGCATCAGTGTGCCCCCTCTCACATATGGAGCAAAAGGCAGCAACAAGGACAGAATATCCTGTCTTTGGGCATTCAATGTGAATTTGGAAATTTGCTATTCTGTCAATGAGATGCATTACTCTGTAATTTTCCTTTCTCTGTGTCTTCAATATTTATATTTCTCAAAGCTCACTGGTACCTGCTTTGATTCCTTTTCAAAAGGAGACAGGCATATTTTCAAGTAAATCACCGTACACTTCTTATGTATGGAGTATTCTAAAATATGTAATGACAGCTACCTTATTTTTGGAAGACCGTTTGTGTCAATAGAATACTAAATTTGCAGCCTTAGCAACTGTGACCTTCTTTAAACCTCTCTGCTTCTTAAATACAGGACTGGACTAGACTGAGTTCTCTTTATGCAAATCTGCCAAACAGGGTGCCTCTGTTTAAATAGTCTTCTCCAATGGTGAGACATGGGCCGGTTGAGTCACTTACATTCTGTATAAACAACAGAGAAGTGAATAAACAAAAACAAAAACATGCAATCTTTGCTAATTTCCTCATTATCCTAAGTGCCTCACCTGGTGAGTATTTATGCTAGCTGTAAAAACAAGAATCTGGAACCCAACCCAGAAAGAATCCATGTTAGAGTTCCAATATTTGCCCTCTTTTTGCAGGTATCTCCTCCAGTCCTCAGCTGACCCAATCTGGCCCTGGAATCGTGAAGCCAGGCAAGTCCTTCAAACTGACCTGTTCGGTCTCTGGTGCCCAAGTGAGTGGTTATTACTGGGGCTGGATCCGAGAAACTCTAGGGAAAGATCTGGAATGGATGGGTAACATTCGGCCCACATCAGGTGGAGGAAGCAGCTACTACAATTCAGCTTTCAGCAGCCGAAGCACCATCTCTAGGGACACCAACAAAAATGAAGTCTATCTTCAGATGAATTCCCTAACAGCTGCAGACACAGCAGTATATTATTGTGCAGGAGACACAGCAAAGCAAGACAATGAATCATCCATGCAAAAAACCAGTAATACACCAGCATTAGAGCAAGGAATGAGGGTGGGTGGAGGGAAGATCTATTGCTCAGAGAATCCCATGAAAGCTATTGAAAACTTGCTTATGTGCATTGCACAGCCCAGATCTCATTGCCCCATTAATGGTGGTTGAGCCCAAAATCTCATCTCACTGAGCATTATATTTAATCAGGCCAATAGTCCATCTAGTTCAGTATAGTCTACACTGGCTGGCAGCTGCTCTCCTATCTGTCAGACAAAAGAATTTGGGACAAAGTGTCCCCTATCCCTCTTGGACTTTGAACAGGATGCCTTCTCCCCCTGTATTTGAACTTGGCCATTCCTAAATGGTGGCTGTGTTGGTGTTGCTGACATGGAGCCCAGCCTGACATGAGCAACAATAGAGAGAAGCCTAAAGGGTCAATAAGAGCTACAGCGCAGTGGCAGAGCATGTGATTTGCATGCAAAAGGTCCCAGGCTCAATCACTGGCATCTTCAATCAGGCTGGGAAAGTTTCCTGCCTGACACCCAGTATAGAGAGTAGACATCTAGATAGATCCATGGTCTGAATTGGGATGGGGCAGCTTCAGGTTGAATTCTCCGTGCTTCAGCAGGAGTGCTTCCTTTTATCTTATTCACTTTCTAAATGCAGAACCCAAAGGCCTTCATGCAAATCTCCAAAGGAAGCTTTTCTGGTTTAAATAGCATTGTCTGATTTTTCACCCTCAGTCTCTTTTGTTTTGTACAGGGCAGAGGAAGAGGAGCAAGTGAGGAGGAGAGATGAAATCTATCGTGCTGCTTATTCTTGGTCTCTCGGCTGTTTCACCAGGTGAGGATTTTCAGCTTGGAATATTTCTCTGGCAGCCTTGACAAGCGTGTCTCCTTTAGTTCTTCTGCTTTTTAAATTCAGGGTTGTTCCTCTTTAAATAGCATTCTCCAATGGTGCTATATGGGCTGTGTTGTATTCATTCTGTATCAAAAGCAGAGGAGCAAGGGATTAATAACAAAAATAGATTTTTTGCTCATAACCCATGGCATCTCACCTGGTGGGAATTTACTCCTGCTGTAAAAGCAAAAATGCTTAACCCGCATCAAAAAGAACGCAGATTATAAATTTAATTTTCTGACATGCCCCCCCCCCGGCAGGTATCTGCTCCAGCCCACAGCTGACCCTGTCTGGCCCAGGAGCGGTGAAGACAAGAGAGTCCTTTAAACTGACCTGCAGGGTCTCAGGTGTCGAAGTCAGTCTCTCGTACTGGGGCTGGATGCGACAACCTCTAGGGAAAGGTCTGGAATGGTTGGGAAACATTCAGAGAGAAAGAGATGGAGGAAGAACTTACTGCAATTCAGCTTTCAGCAGCCGAATCAGCATCTCTAGGGACACCTCCAGAAATGAAGTGTATCTTCAGATGAATTCCCCAACGGCGGCAGACACAGCGGTGTATTTTTGTGCAAGAGACCACAGCGAACCAAACCAATGAACATCCATGCAGAAACTTAGTAATATATCCAGTACCAGGGCAGGCATTGAGGGTGGCAGGAGGGAAGATTGATTGCCAGATAGAATCCCATGAAAGCCATCAAAAACTTGCCTATTTGCATTTTACTGCCCTAGGTTTCATTACCCAGTTTAAACAAAGGAGCTTTCCTGGGTCAGGCCAAAGGTCCACCTAGCTGAGAATTCTCACAGTGCGTAACCAAATGTCTGTGAGAAGCCTGCAAGCAGTCCAACAGTGCTACTTCCCCAGCTGAGATTGCCGGCCACTGGCATTCAGAACATTGTTGCTGTTGCATTTATTATCTAGGCTTAACGAGTAGGGCCCATGTCAGGTTGCAACAGTTTAAAATTCAGAGTTAAAAGCAGTTGAACAGACTTTGTAATCACAAGCACAAGTTTCAGGTGTGAAGGGGCAGGTAATAATGTCAGTGTACTGGAAGAAGCAAAGATCACCAGTGTGAAGCAATGATTCTGCAACATCAACTTCATTGGACTGGTCATGTTGTTTGGACAGTGGCTGATATAATAAAAGGGAGATCGGAGGTAGAGGCTGCGGAGAGAAATTGCCCAATATCAGGCAAGGGTCCAAATAATTTGGGATAATTGCAGAAGGGAGAAGAGGTTGGAGGACTTCCCTTCCCTAAACTTTATTAACTGATGTCTTAGGATGCAGTCCTATGAACCCAACTCAAAGTACAGGCCCTGCCTTGGGAAGCACAGAGGAAAGGTAAGTGTGGATAAGCCATCAGTACAAACAGGACAAAACTAGATGGACCATTAGTCTGAGGATGCTATTTGACCGTGAAATACAAACACTGCCACTTGTAGTCCTCTCTGCAAGAGCATCCCGTTTTTATCCCCTCTGCTTCTTAACTCAATGCCACATATGCAAATTTCTCAGCCGGGCCCCTTCTATTTAAACAGCATCACCTGAAGTTACTCCATGGCCTGGCTGTGTCTCTTTCATTCTGTACAAAGAGAAGAGACACAGACAGACAGACAGACAGACAGACAGACAGACAGACATGAGATCCACATTGGTTTTTCTCATTCTCCTAATTTAATGTCACAAAAGCCCTTTGTGGCTTAGGGCCCTCGTATTTACAGCACCGCCTCTCATGGTATGCCCCGCAGAGGACCTTGGTTTAGAGGTCCCGGGCCCTAAGGAAGTCAGATTATCCTCCAGCAGGGCCAGGACCTTCTCAGTGATGGCTCCGACCTGTTGGAATGCTCTGTCCCATGAGACCAGCACCCTGCAGGATTTAACTTCTTTCAGCAGGGCCTGTAAGATAGAGCTATTCCACATGGCTTCCAATTTGAACTTAGCCTGATTTTTATTCCCTTTCCTTCCCTCCCCCTCCCCTTTTTATGAAGATTACCCGCTCTGGGTAATTCTCCCCTGGTCTCTTCACTGGCCCAAATAGGACTAACTTAGCCAGCTAGCCCTGATGATCATCTAATGCAGTGTTTCCCCAACCTTTTTTGGGCAAAGGCACACTTGTTTCATGAAAAAAATCTCAAGGCACACCACCATTAGAAAATGTTAAAAAAATTAACTCTGTGCCTATATTGACTACCCTATTTTTCGCCCTATAGGACGCACCGGCCCATAGGACGTACCTAGATTTTGGGGGGGAAATAAAGGGGAAAAAATTATTCCCCCCCCCCCCCCAGACGCGGGGCTGGGGCGGGAGAAGCCCGAGCTTCCCCCGACCCCAGCCCCCAGAATGGGAGCCAGAGTGGCTCCCGGAGCTTGCGGGACTGGGGGTGGGGGAAGCCCGAGCTTCCCCCGCCTCCAGCCCCCAGAAAGGGTCCGAGAGCGATGGCAAAGGTGAGCGCACCTTCGCCATCACTCCCCAGAGCTTGCAGGAGCTGGGGGTGGTGGAAGCCAGAGCTTCCCCCGCCCCCAGCCCCCAGAAAGGGTCCGAGAGCGATGGCGAAGGTGAGCGCACCTTTGCCATTGCTCCCGGAGCTTGCAGGAGCTGGGGGCGGGGGAAGCTGGAGCTTCCCCGCCCCCAGCCGCCAGAGCAGGTCAGAGAGCGATGGCGAAGGTGTGTGCACCTTCGGCATCGCTCTGGGACCTTGCGCGGGCTGGGGGCGGGGGAAGCCGGAGCTTCTCCCGTCCCCAGCCCGCAGAGCAGGTCAGAGAGCGATGGCGAAGGTGTGCGCACCTTCGCCATCGCTCTGGGACCTTGCGCGGGCTGGGGGCGGGGGAAGCCGGAGCTTCTCCCGTCCCCAGCCCGCAGAGCAGGTCGGAGAGCGATGGCGAAGGTGTGCGCATCTTCGCCATCGCTCTGGGACCTTGCGCGGGCTGGGGGCGGGGGAAGCCGGAGCTTCTCCCGTCCCCAGCCCGCAGAGCAGGTCGGAGAGCGATGGCGAAGGTGTGCGCACCTTCGCCATCGCTCTGGGACCTTGCGCGGGGTTGGGGCGGGGGAAGCCGGAGCTTCCCCCCTCCCCAGCCCCCCGAACAGGTCAGAGAGCGATGGCGATGGTGTGCGCACGTTCGCCATCGCTCTCGGGGCTTGGGAGGCTGCGGGCGGGGGAAGCTGGAGCTTCCCCCGACCCCAGCCTCCCGAACGGGTTGGAGAGCGATGGCAAAGGTGCGCGCAGCTTTGGCATCGCTCTGGGAGCTTGCGCGGCTGGGGGGATAGCTTCCTTAAGCCTGGAGAGCAAGAGGGGTCGGTGCGCACCGACCCCTCTCGCCTCTCCAGGCTTCAGCGAAAGCCTGCATTCGCGGCGATGGGATGTGGGAGGGAGCTCGCTCGCCGCCCCGCGTGTGCTCGCCGCCGCGCCCCGCCTCTCGCCGCCCGACTCGCCCGCCTCCCTCCCACGGCACACTAGGCAACGTCTCACGGCACACTAGTGTGCCGCGGAACACCGGTTGGAAACACTGATCTAATGCAGTGTTTCCCAACTTGTGCCTCCAGCTGTTTTTGGACTACAATTCCCACCATCCCTTGCCACTGGTCTTGCTAGTCAGGGATGATGGGAGTTGTAGTTCAAAAACAGCTGGAGGCACAAGGTTGGGAAACACTGATCTAATGTTTACTGGATGGATTTTCCCCCTAAACTGATATTTGAATTCTGAATTTATTGTTATTCATATTTTATACTGTATTTTATGCTGTTTTTTGTTGCATCAATTTATTATTATTTACTATTATACTCCCACTTTAAATTTTATTAAAATTAATTGCCTCTCACTTCTTTAGGCACAATTATGATGACAGTGTCACCTATGCTTATTAAACCACATGAAATAAATCACTTTTATAACCTCTCAGACCAGCACTCAACTATATTCTCTTTGTCAAGCAGCTGGCAGCAGAGACAATCCTTTCCAAATCAAACGACAATCTCTCAAATGGCCAAACTACCAGTAACAACCACCTGCAAAGTCTCACAAAAGAGGTTCTTGGAGGCAAGGAGCCTCAAAGCTACAAGTTCTCTGGCCTTACGTGTAATGACTTCCACATAAGGACTGCAGCTCTTTATTGGAAGGGGTGCAAAATGGATCTGCACACTTGTCCCTTTCTAGAGGCCAACATAGCCTACAGCCCATCACGATCAAAGGACATCAAGAAACAGTTCCATTGCTATGGCTTCGTGGATGTTGCAGCACAATCTGGTCTGTGCTTTCCTCCACTCCTTAATGGATGTCTTGTGTCATTTGCACAGTTCCATCCTTTTCCACATAGTACTATATTCCATACCCTTCAAGTGTCCCGGGGCATCACGGAATAATAGAAGCCATCCCAGCTCCTGATTGTCCAGAATGTCCAGTTTCCCCCCTCCAGCTCCGCTGAGCTTGGGGAGAAGGATGAGCCGGCACTTGTGCTTGCAGTGGTGTCACACTCTTGTACAAGCCAACTAACTCACACGGCAGCACCATACCAAAAGACATGCATCCTAATTTTAATCAGGGTAATGTTGGAGGATATGATATGATATTTATGTTGTATGCTTACATAGACATCCACTCAATGTGCTCAACACAAGAAGTAATGCTGACACCTATTGGCTTCAAATGGTCTCCTGCTTTTATTATGCTTGGCCTTTTTTACATTATGCAAATTCTCTCACTGCCTCCCAAATTCAAATAACAGGCTTCTTGGTAATTTAGTTTCATTGCAGCTGAGGAGAAAAGCTGTCTCCATTCCAGCATTATTGTTTTTCATTCCTACTATTACTTTTCTCCTCTCAGGATAAAATAAAATAACAATGATGCTGCTCTTGGTCCCCCTCTTCCTCTTGGCCCTGCTCCCAGGTAAGTATCTCCTAAAACATTCTCCAACCCTTCCACATCTTATCAAATGAAATATCCTGAATATTAGATATGATACTTAATGGTATAGCAATTCTCATGACCCATGTGTTCTGGATTAAACGAGCAATGATAAAACTGTGCAAGGAATAGCCTTCAAGTTCTGGCTGGGCCTACTGCCTAACGCTGGTTTTCCTTTTCTTTCCCTCCCCTCAAATCTCATCAGGTGTTTTCTCCCAAGTCACATTGAAGGAATCTGAACCAGGAACAGTGAGACCAGGAGAGACCCTCGAGCTGACCTGTACGGTCACTGGGCGCTCTGTGACAAGCAGCTACTGGTGGCACTGGGTACGACAGAGCCCTGGGAAAGGGCTCGAATGGATGGGAGGCTGGACTGCAAGATCGTACTACGCTGCATCATTCCAAAACCGAATCACCATCTCTGTGGATTCTTCCCAAACCAAGTACTTTCTGAGACTGAGCACTGTGACAGCTGCAGACACAGCCATGTATTACTGTGCAACAGGCACAGTGGGACAGACTGAAGCAGAGGCCTGTACAAAACGGAGGAAGTGTTTCCTTCTGATACTTCTTGAGTAACACTTTGCCTGAGAAAAACAGATCCTGCTTCGTCCAAGACAAAATGTGAACATTCCCCCTTAACATGGCCTTGAACATTGCTGTCTGACATCTGGCCAGATGATGGCCCAGCCATGCAAACTGTTAGCCATCACTGCCTCTTGAGGGAGTGAATTCAGTGTTGCTATCAAACAACGGAATGGTGACTGCCCACACTTGTGACTCAGTACGGGGGTATCCAAGAGGAGCAAGGGCAAAAACAGGAGAAGATCTGCAATGAAGTCACACCCTCCAACATTTCTCAGATGGAGACATCTTATTCTACGTCGGGAAACCTCTCCCTGACACTTGGTGACTTTTTCATTCAAAATGGGCTTTGCATGGCCGCTTCACTGCTTTGAATAAACATTCACAAACTTTTTATTGATAATAATCAGCGAAATAGTTTGAGTATCTATGCAACTTTGTAACATGCAGAAATCAGCATTCTCAGAGAAATTGAAGAATGGAACTGAGGGAAGTCGGGGGGTGGGGGTGGGTGGGTTTTGTGGGGGGGTGGAAAATGGGGGGGGGAATAAAGATGATATGTTTCTGGATAATATGTTTTGTTTTAATTTTGAATAAAAAAAAATTAAAAAAAGGAAACTTCTCCCTGACACTTGGTGACTTTTTCATTCAAAATGGGCTTTGCATGGCCGCTTCACCATTAACTTCATTTGGTCCAGGGATTTTATTTTCCATCTAAACAGGACTCTGTTTTTGCACCTGCACACACACACTACACTTAATTGTTCTCCGAAATGTGGAGGGGAGGAAGAAAGGAAAAGCGGAAGACTCTGGGATCAAATAAGAAACCAGGATGGCGCCTGTAAATTTGGGACCGTCCCTGGAAAACTGGGACACTTGGAGGATATGATGAAGTGCTACAGTCAGTCATTCTCCTTTCAGGAATTGGGAGCCCTCTCCTGGGGAGAAATAAATTTCTAACTCGCACACTAACATACATAGTAGATGCAAGCCTCACAGCTCCATGTTTTGGTTCTTTATTATTATTATTATTTTACAAACGTCCACACTTCTGCTTATCTAAAGAATGTCCCAAGTACATACAGGCCAATACCTCATTTTTGGATTGCCCTATTTCTCCTTAAGGATGACAGGTCCCACCGCCGCCTGAGTTTGCTACTATAGAGAATGATAAATAAAGACACTTCTCCCTTTCATCACAGCAAACTCAGTTTCAGGTGTCACCACTCCAAAGAATCCTACATCATACAGGAGATGTGCTGCTTCAACCATATATATTTTCCTTTACCCTTAGAGTCTACTCCTTTCAGATACGTTAATAAGTTACTTTGAATCTAATGGCATATTAATTTGCTGACAATTTTGTCGACTATTTTACATCAAGAAGTGTCAATGCGTAGTAGTTAAAGGGACTGTTTTACAGGAAGCAACTATGAGATCTGACAGTTTCAGAATTTTGTTTAACTTCAATGTGTGGTTTTCTAAATGCCTACGTTGTTTTTATGCTGCCTTAGTTCTATCAGAGTTTGATGACTTTTTATGTATTATCTTTTATATAAGTTTTTAGCTTTTTGCATTTTATTTGCTTTGCTTTGTTCTGTGGAAGCTGCTTTGAGTTTTTAGCTTTTTGTATTTTATTTGTTTTGTGGAAGCTGCTTTGAGTCCCAGTATGGGGGAAAGGATGGATATAAATATCACTACTAAAACTACTACTTTATAGTTTATTAATCTGGCAATCTTGTCAAGATGAATTGTATAGGTTTATGGTTTTATTCATCTGGCAACCTTGTCAAGTGCTCCTCCTTTTAGCTTCTGATCCTTAAATGAAGAACAGAATTAGACAGACTTCCCATTATGCAAATATGCCAAGTACACTCCTCCTTTTTAAAGAGTGCCATTCAAAGGTGCTTGATGACCTGACTGAGACTCACACACCCTGTTTCTAATAAACAAAGGACTGAGTGATTAAGGGGGGAAATATGAGATCTTTGTCAATTTTGCTCATTCTCCTAAGTGCCTCACCTGGTGAGCATTTATGCTTAGTGTAAAAACAGAAAATATTGAATTCAACCCAAAGTGAGGTCATATGAGAAGTCTAACATTTGCCCTTTCTGTTTTGCAGGCATCCTTTCCAGTCCACAGCTAATTGAGTCTGGCCCAGGAGTGGTGAAACCAGGAGAGTCCTTCAAACTGACCTGCACTATCTCTGGGTTCCAAGTCAGTGATTATTACTGGGTCTGGAACCGACAGCCTCCAGGGAAAGGCCTGGAGTTTATTGGTGGTATTCGGAGCTCTGCAGCTGGAGGAACCACCTATTATAACCCAGCATTCAGTAGTCGGATTTCTGTCACCAGGGACACCTCCAGAAATGAAGTGTATCTTCAGCTGAATTCCCCGACAGCTGCAGACACCGCTGTGTATTTTTGTGCACGAGACACAGTGAAGCAAAGCAATGAAGCATCCATCCATAAACCTACACAATATATCCCATCACTATGGCAGGCAATGAGGGTTGATGGAGGACACATTCATTGTCCCATAGAGTTCCACAAAAGCCATTGAAAACTTGCTTATTCCATAGCAGAGTCTCAGCTTTCATTACTCAGGTATGGTTCAAATTCGCATACAGGGAGAGAAGAGGAACTGGCTATTATGAGAGAAGTGTTGCGCTCAGCATCATTCTCCAATCAGAAATTGTGAGTCCTTCTACTGTCTGGGGTGGGAAGGCAGTTCTTTCACCAACACAAAGGCTGACAAACTGCTTTGCATCACTGGTACCAGTGAACGGCTGTGCAGAGTAAAGGGCTTCCATAACTGGTTGCAGAGTGACCATAAGTGATGGAACCTCTAGTGTGTGCTACTCAGAGAGAGGGGATCATTAAGGCAGAGGTGGGAGGGAAATGGTGCTCTCCCAGCTGGGTACCAGTGTCAGCATCGCCCTTGAGCCAGTGCCACCAACTGGACTCATCCACTTCAGCCCCGACTGGGCCAGGCGAGCTGGGTAGCACTTCCAGAGACCACCTTCTACACAAGAACAGGTCAAAGTGCTGTGGACTCACAGCTTAGAGCTGTGAGCACCAGATTCACTTCCACAAGAAGACAGTCGTCGCACAGCAGAGTATAGCAGAGTATAGCAGAGCATAAACGACTCGGAGAGCAGCTCTGTAGAATATCTTCTTTATTCTATCTACAACTATAATACATAACTATATACAGAGCTAAATGAGGTCTAAGCATAAATGAATGCTGAACTGCACTGAGTGTCTGCAGCTGCTCTTAGCAGCAACCTTATCTATACACACGATCTCTAACACTCAATCTCTCTCTCTCTCCCCGTCACTGACTGACTGACTCATGTTAGGCTGGAGCGGAATAAGTAGAGAGCAGAACACCGCCCCTCCTCTCTGGAAAATCACCAGACTCATCAGCAGATTCTTGGATATGGGAGGGGTGAAATCTCCTCATCCTCCCCCATTTCATCCACACACACTCCAAAAGTTGTTCTCTGCTTACAACATTTTTTAACATATCTGCAGGTATCTCTCTCCCCCTTTATCTAAGACACTTTAACCACATCATTAAACAGTCACTGCAACCACTCTGTGTCTATCAGGAAAGAGTTAAAACGCAAACCTCAATCTGTAGTACACACAAAATACACATTGTGAAATCTCCTCAACGAGCTCAATCCAGTACCTCTGAACTTCCCAGATCTGATGGGCTATCAATTCCCTTAGTTATTGGGACTGTGTTTGGGTTCCAACAAAGGATGCCATGCCTATGTTGTCTCTCTCTCTCTCTTCCCAAATACAGAAACACATTTACCTTGGAATGCTTTGAAGTCTTGCCTTCTTGGTTTTTGGAGGCAATTATACCAGAGTCCCATTAAGGCAGAGGTGGGAAACCTCAGACCCAGGAGCTAAATGTGGCCCTCCATGCCTCTCTAGGTGGCCCTCAGGACTCACCCCAGCTACTCCCCTCACCAGTCTCTCTTCCGACCCTTCTTGAGTAGAAAAAGGGAAATACAAAATTGAGCCTCCCAACGCTCATTTAGAAACCTGATAGGCTTGTGCTTACTGTGAAAGTGGAAGAAAAAATGTGATTACTCTAAACAATTGGATCCTAAAAGTATTGTGCATCCAGTTGTAGACCAGTAAGTGGCAGCATTTCATATATACAGAGGGCTGTGTCCTGCAGATAGGGATGAGGCAGAAATGTGGTTCAGTTTGTATTTTGATGCAAATCAACATTATTTGCACTCCTTGAAAGGGGATGCAATCTGAGACACAGCAACACTTTGAAATTTGCATTTCTCCCAATTTTGCATTGCAGTTCTCCAATTTTAAAAAAAGGGCATGGAACTCCATATATCTGGAAAAAGTGTGTATGAAATGCAAATGTTGGTAAA